GCGGGGGCGAGCTCGGGCCGCCGGGGAGGAGACCGCCCCAGGGAAACTCTGAGCCGGGCGTGCCGCGCCCTGGTCCACACACCCCGGACGCGGGAGCGGAGCGGCGAGGCGCCCGGCCCGGGCAGTCGCTCAGCGAGCGGGACGCCCCCTGCTCCCAGTCTCTTCCCGTCCAGCCCCGGCCCCGGCGGCCACCACCGGTCCGCGGTTGTGCGGAGCTGGATCCCGGGCGGCGACCGCTCGGCGCGGGAAATCTTTGGGGGATGGACGGGAGCGCGATCCGTGCGAGGCTGGGCGAGAGAGAATTCGTGCGCAGTGCGAAGAGGTGGTGCGACGGAGCCGGAGGGGAGATTCCGTGGAGAGGACTGGAAGATAACTCCTCTCTCTCGGGAAGAGGGCGAGGACCCCACCACTAAAGCCCCAGCGCCGCGTCATCCTTACACCCCGGGGCTCTTTCGAAACGACTGTTACTTCGATCAGCTCAGACCACAGGGCCCTCCCCGAAAGGGAGAAACTGAGAAAAGCCAGCGGGTGGAGGGAGGATGTGCGCGCTGTTTGCGGCTGCTGGCCGGATTAAGGAAGTGAGCTGGGGTTCGCCTCGGCCCCCACCCCCACCTCTCCGCCCCCCACGAGGCTTCACACAGCCCAGAACCCGCTGGAGAGAGGCTAAGCTGGTAGTCTGCGCACGCAACCGCAGCCGCGGCTTTGTATCTAAAATAACCGAAAACTTTATTGGGGTTGAATGGTGTGGTACAAAGAGTGTAGCACTTTGAAGGAAAGATCCGAATTTGAGGTTACGTGTAGCAAGCCAAACTCTATAGGTAGGTGTAGGTGAGCTGCTAAGTACGAGAGTGATGTTATATGAGATCCACAAAGTTCTAAGACCGAGGAAACTCATCTGTTACTGGACACCTTCCTCCCTGTTCTCCAGACTTCTCCAGTGCTTTTCCAAGACACTTCTGATAAGCTATTCTCTACTGAAAGGTTTCCCTGTAAGGTCATCATGTCATCCGGGGAAATTCAAATAAGCCCTTACCTGATTTTCAAGCTCTGCCACTTCCCCTTATTTTGTCCAAGTAGCGCCACTTTGAATTGTCCCAGTAGCACCACGCACAACCAGCAGGAGCCCACTGCAACATCATACTAAACCTTGACCCTGTGACTGTTGGTCACTTGTCTGTCTCTCCCACTTGTCTGTGTCCCCAGTAATTAGCATAATACTTGTGAACGTCATGAGCCATCCTTAAAAGTAGCTAGACTTAGTAAAGAAGTCTAAGTGACTTTGAACATATAAATATGCACTCAGACTCACTGTTTATAAAAAAAAATTCAATTTTAAGCTATAATGTGTTTCAGAGAAAGTTTGGCAATGGTTGATATTGGTGGTGAGGGAAAAGAAAAATCAACACTTTTTCTAATTGTCATGTTGGCTTAACTAGTAGTTTTTCTGGTAGGTAACTGGCAGTATCTATCAATATCTGAAGTATTGAACTTGGCAATTCTGTTTCTAGGAATTTGTCCCTTAATATTCTTATAGGTGTTGGGCCCTCCCTGGTAGCACAAGGGGTTAAAGCACAGCACTGTGGAGCTATATAGCATGAGTTCAATCCCCAGCTCTAGAGCTAACCCACATGGCCCAGCAGACCTCTCCTGACCCGCCCACTGCTCCCCTCAGCAGTGTACTTCAGTGATCTGCCTGTCCTGTCTTGCTCCCCACTTTGTCTGTGGTGAATCTTCTCAGCACCCCTCCACCTCTGGCCTATACCCCTGTTCTTGTATGCATAAATAAATCTTTGAAAAAATATTCTTGTAGGTGTCCCCCCAAATGTATGTGTGTGTGTGTGTGTGTCTGTCTATGTATATGTATGTGTGTATATATACATCACCCAGGGCAACAGAAAAGCCAGCTGCACCTATCAGGAGGTTATTTGCAAGTTTAAAGACTGTACCAGCAAAGGTGATTGCTAAACAAAGAGAAAGAGGGACAGACAATGGCCACTGAATATGCTTCTGAATTGAAAGAGAGAACCAGTGAGCCTGACCAGTATAAATAACACAAGACAAATGAATTCTTGTAGAATGGCTTTCTGAGAAGTTTCTTAACATTTCAGTTATCCCCTTAAACAACTTATCTTTCTGTTTTTCAGTAGTCACTAATCCAACTTGTAATTATTCATCCTACTTATTACCTGACTCTAAAATGTGATATCCTTGGAAATGGGTCAAAAGTTTTCCAATCAAAGGAAGGATTTGATGTTCAGGTTTAGAAATGCATTCTGTACGCTTTGAATCCTGCAAGTATAGAAACAAGAAATTGAGCCTCTCTGGGTGTGTTGAAACCTCCCACTTCATGCCTGTCACTACGCTCAAAGCCAGGCCTTGTTGGGTGGGTCACTTTTTTGTTTTACCCAAATTTTATTTACTAATAGTTTCCATAATTGTATACTTTGGGGAGTGCAACCTGACACCCCAACATGTGCACTGGCTGGACTCAGGCTCCTGCAAGAACACCTAATCACATTACTCCCCTCTCCACCCCCTCACCCTCCACTGCAACCTGCCCTCCCCCCACACACACCACCCCCAGCCCTCTGGTCATCACTATATTTTTCAAAGTCCAATAGTTATTTGTGTTGTATTTTGCCAATTTATTTGCTTTGGCTACTTGCATTCCACACATATATAAAACCATTTGGTCATGGGTGGGGGGGCGAGGAGAAGAAAGTCCTCAACAAACTCCATAGATAGGTTTTATGGGGTTACCCTGTAACAACTTTCTTTTACTTTCTGGCTGATTTCAATGAGCATCACTTCAAGATTCATGTACTTTGTCCCAAAAGCACCATTCCCTCTTCTTGAGTGTATCTATATAAACACAGACACACACACACACACACACACACACACATTTCACTATCTTATATATGGTTGTTGGATATAGTTTACTTCCACGGCTTGGCTATTGTAAATAAATCTGTTATGAACATAAAGGTGATTAGGCTTTTTTGTATGACAGTTTTCATATTCTTTGGGTAAATAACTAGAAATGGGTTTGCTCAGTCATATGGCAGTTCCACTTTTAGCTTTTTTTTTTTTTTTTTAAAAAGACTTACTTTTTATGCATACAGAGGTACAGGCCAGAGGTGCAGGGTGGTAAGAGAATTCACCAGCGACAGTGTGGGGAGCAGAACAGGTGGATCTATTGAAATACACTGCTGAAGGGAGCCGCAGGTGAGTCAGAAGAAGTCTGCTGTGCCATGTGGGTCAGCTCCCTGGCCGGGGATCAAATTCATGCTGAAGTGGCTGTGGCTAACTCACTGCACCACTAGAAAAGGCCCACCATTTCTAGCTTTTTGAGGAAATCTTCACTGGGTGAATTTCTTATCTATTATCGATTACTAAGCATTCCAAAATAGGTATCGGTCTTAAATATCAGTAATGAGCTTTGAAATTCTAGACCTCATCAAAAAGAACTTTACGTATAAAGCTTTGAAGAAAGAAGAAACTTTTCTTTAGAGTTTAAATAAGACATCAAGATGAGAAATTAGAACAGGGAGGTCCCCAGGGCAGGGGATGTTCAGGTCCCCTGCCCCACCCAAGGAAGGGTGGAGCTGAGCAGGGAGGAGAAGTGAGAGAAGGCCGGGGAGCAAGAGAACCTGGAGGAGGTGCGTGGAGTAGAGCCAGGTGAAGACGAAGCTGTGTTTGCTTCTCGGCTTTGAACTTGTACTGGGGGCTCAGGGGACTCGGAAGGAGACACTTGAAAGAGACGGAGAAACTGGTGTGAGAACCGCGGGAGGCTGACCATGTGGGGCTTCCTCTTGACTTGGGCTTTGATTTTGTTCTGTTCTTAACAAACTTGCCTGGCCCCTCCTACACTCTCCTATGGGTCCCCACCAGGAGGTGCCTTAGACTGGTAGCAGGCTG